ATTTCGCATTTCCTACATGTTCTTCGCTCAGATTGAGGTAGAAACAGTTGATAGAACTGGAACATTCTTGGGCACATTATGGGAGTCAAGATCCAATGTGGCAGTGATACTATTAGAAGCTGGATTGGCTAGAACGCAAACTTCCTTTGGTGCTGATAGATTGCAGGATGCTCACCTCCTCATGCAAGCTGAACAGGCTGCCAAAAGGCAGAAACTGAAGGTAAGTGACTTAGACAGTATATATCACACTTATTAGTCCCACATTCTTGTAATATTAACTTGCACAAGTGCAGATATGGGAGAACTATGTCGAGGGAGAGGTAGTTTCAAATGGTGCTGTTGCTGAAAGACGTCAAAAAGAAGAGGTGAAGGTAATGTAGTTACGTATGGTGCTTCTCAATTATTTGGACATAAGGTACTGCTGTTGAGCTGAAGCTGTATGCAGTTTGTGTTTTGATTACATGGCCTTCTATAATGTTATTCATTTATATTCTCAGGTCACGGTCACTGAAGTTTTGGGAGGGGGAAAATTTTATGTTCAGTCGGTCACAGATCAGAAAGTCGCCACCCTTCAGAGGCAGCTTGCTTCTCTCAACCTTCAGGAAGCTCCTGTAATTGGTGCCTTCAATCCAAAGAAAGGAGATCTTGTTCTTGCTCAATTCAGTGCAGATAATTCATGGAACCGAGCAATGGTGAAATTCCAACCATCCTCTTTCTTGTATTATATTTTGATACATGTAGTTTTCCAACGTGAAGGTTCATAGGTCACTGATCTCTTTTTGTTATGCTTCGATTTGAATAGATAGCAGCTGTTAATCAAATTACTCATAGGACCTAGCTTTGCATATTCTAACATGTCTATAGAAAGCAATATTATGGCATAGGAAAGCTCCAAAAACTATAGCAGAGACATCTATTGCATGTTATATCGTAGTGGTGTCAAGTGTGAGAGCATGCCTGGTGGATGAAAGCTTCAGTTGACATGATTTTTTTTATTATA